ATCATTGTTATGTATTTTTTATTAGTCGTGGGTGTTATCTTTTTAATTAGTCCTATATTAATTGCAGTATTAATTCTTACAATTATATGCAATAATGTACCCCCAAAATGTAATTATCCAATAACAAATTAAAATGCTTTAAAAACATAATGACAGATTTTTTGCTTCTGGCCATGACAGTGTAACTGGTACTGGACTAGCCCTCTTGCCATAAACAGAAAACCGTACGAAATAGACAAAGCAACTGTTTGCAGATACTGGTCAGCAGGCGTCACAGGACTTTCCATCTGTGAAAGTGACCGGTCCTGTGCTTGCCCAGCTCTCTGCCTGGAAGTATTTTCTGGACTCAAAGAGGAGAAGCCCCGAAGTACAGCAGTCTCGCTGAACTTGGGATCCAGGAAAACGGGAGCCACTGAGTTTGCAGGCAGGGAACCAAAAGAAGGAAACTGCCCACTAAGAAATCTGCTTTGGTATCCCCTTGCATCTTTAGCTCACTGTTAGTGGTGCATGCACAGGAGGAGACTCCGTGATTCAAGCCAAGGACGACTACCAGGAAGCTGTGAAGCCAGCCACTACCAGCGGTCTAACACAGCTGGGAGACTCACATTCTGACAAAGTGGAAAGACCTTGTGAGCACTCCGTACTCAGCGGAGACCCCGGAGAGGCCCTGCCTCAGCAGTAGGGTTGTAGACCTTACCAGCGAAGCTTGAAAACAAGCCTTGAATGGAACAAGCTGATTTACCAACAAATTATCTGCCTCAGAACTTTTAAAGGAGGGAGAAAAATCCAGACAACATTCAAAATATTCAGAATCCAATAAAAATATACTATGTGTAAAGAAGCAGAAAAATGTGACATAACCAGGAGAACAGTTAGTCAATATAACAGATCCAGAAATGACAGGTAGTAGAATTAGCAGGCAAGGACTTTTTAAAAGCTATTATAAAAAATGACTTTAAAATGATTTTAGAAAACATTATTATAATGAACAAAGAGAAAGAAAATATAAAAACAACCCAAATGTTCTTCTAAAGGTGAAAAATAAACACTGAATTTTTAAGTTCCCTACATGGGCTTAACAGTAGTTTAGATACTATTAAAATAGCAGGGAATTTGGAGATGGAACAATTGAAACTAAGCCACAAAGAGAAAATAAATTGAAACAAAAATGTATACAGTCTCATTGACCTATCAGATAGTACTAACTGATTCAACGGTATGTAGGGATTAGGGGACACAGAAATATACAGGGTGGGGGAAAGTAGATTTATGGTTGTGCATATGGAAAATAACACAATAAATAATAAAATCTGTGTTTTGTGTACTCACAAGTGTGAAACTACTTGTTCGTCACCCATATGAGGGAAAAATGTTATGAATTTAATAAATAGACATACCCACAGATTCAAGACACTCAACAAATCTCAAGCAGGCTACTATCTCAAAGCCCATTATAATCAATCTGCAGAAAATCAACGATGATAAGAAAATCTTAAAAACAGCCAGAGAAGAGAATACATTACCTACAGGGAGAAAAAGATAAATGACTTTTTATCTGAAACAGTGCAAGTCAGAAGACAATGGAAAGACACTTTAATCTCCCTTCCACCTGCCCTCCACTGCTGTCTGTTGGAGATCCTACTAGAAATGTTCCATGTACAAACATAGCAAATGCATTTTAAATTATTTTCAACATAGAATTTAGAAAGGTTAGCAAAAAAAATCATAAACGGTGTGTTGTGTTTATAGAGAAATGATGATCTTTCCTAGGCAAAATAATCCCTAGAGCCGAGAGGGGTAATTTATTACTTCAGCCCTAATCCTGTGCTGATTAAACAGCCCTTAGTTTTATACTCTGGTCTTCTGAGTCGATAACCTGCAGAAGGGACTGGGACTGGTGTCAATTCTTTTGCTGTGGATAGGTGCCCTTAGAAATATGCAAATTGGCACCTTGGCTTAGAAGGCAGCTGGACAAAGAATAAAGAAGACAAAATTTGGAATTAGGTCCAGTCTAGGCTTTGCAGCTTAGTTGTTTTTAAAGATAGAGAAATGGGGCACCGGTTGGGATCCCTAATATACTACAGGCAGCTAGGATGATGACACATCAAAATAAGAAGCAAGGAGATATGGAGCAGCACTAGATCATAATTAAAAACAACAGATACAACCAAACTTTCTTAATACCATCTACCTTTTAAAAAGTTAGGGTGGCAGGTATTAAGTGGGAGAGGAGAATGTTTCTGTCTCTTCCTACGTTGACCATCCTCATTCCATCGATCTCCTTAGCAGGCTGTTCTGCTCGGCCTCCGTGGAAGAGAACTCACCACAGGGCCGCACCAGCACCGCCAGCCTGTGCCTTTACATCTGCTCTTGCCCGCCACCGTACCAGTGTATGTGTTCTCCCACCTGCGGTGTGGCTGGGTATTAAGCTCTTCAGGCATAACTAATGCACCCAGAGCCTAGATGGGATATACATTAATGATAAAGTCTTGCATGTCTAGTCAACTGCATGAAAATACTGAAAACCCACTTAATTTTCAGGGAAGATGCTGTACCTTGCTTCTGTCAGAGCTTGGGACTACGGGAGGCTTACCCTGCAGAAGCTTCTTTTGTTATACTTTGGTTCTGCCCTTGTTTTTTGAAGGTTCTAGTTTGTAACTGCTGTATCAGAAGAAACATTTCAACACAGTGTCTTATTGGAAATTAACAACCCCAACCATCACCTAGTGACTTTTATTTCTTGTTCCTTTCATCTAAAAATTAATATTTTGAAATTTTATGTTTGAGATTCAAAGTCTTTGATAAAGTCACATGTTATGAAATAATTCCAAAGGAGCTATGTTGGAGTAAGTTGTAGAGAAATGCATTTGAACAAATGTGATATAAAACTATTTTATGGAAAATTAATTTTAAAAAAAAGAAAGAAAGAAATGGGGCCTTGGCCAGGTGGCGCAGTTGGTTGGAGCATCATCCTGTACACCAAAAGGTTGCAGGTTTGATCCCTGGCCAGGACAAGACACCTTCTTAATAGGCCTACCTTGACGGGCACACTGAAAACTATAGTCCCTTCCCCCTCATTCTGCCTCCCTTACCGAGATTGTTCATGTTCTCCATGCCGTCTCTCATTGTATAATATGCTGCATAATTCTATATGTGTGTTTGTCTGCTCCCCTAGACTGGAACATTCTTTGCTTCTTGGTTTGTTCACCGATATATCTTTGCCCCCTAGAAAACGACTTGAACGTAATAGCTGCTTAGGAAATTTTTATTGAATGAACAAATGACAGTTGTAAGTGTGGTAGGGTTCTCTAGAGAAACAGAACCATCAGGAGCTGCGTGTATGTATAGAGAGAAATACTTACTTTTTTAGAAATTGGCTAATGTGATTGGGGAGGCATGACTGGTCCAACGTCTGCAGGGAAGGCTGGCAGGCTGGAACCCCAGGGAAGATTGTCCGTCAGAGACAATTTACTGGCAGGATTCCTTCCTACGTTCGCAGGGCAGTCTTTCTATTAAGGCCTGGGACTGGTTGGATAGATTCACTCACATTACGGAGGGTAATCACCTTTACACACAGTCCATCCATTTAAATGTAAATCTCATCCAAAAAATACCTGCACAGAAACATGCAGAATAATGTTTGACCAAATATCTAGGTGCTCTGTCCTTGTCAAGTTGACACATTAAATTAACTTTCACAATAGGATGTGGAGAAATAAGAACTGTTACACACTGATAAAATGTAAGAGAGTGAGTTGATAATCACTTAATTTGGCAATATCTAATAAAGTGGAGTTTGTGCATGTCCTTCCACTGAGCAATTTTACTCCTAGTTATATAGAAACACTTATAAAAGGCCATACTTATATAAGGGAAACACTTACATAAGGCCACAAATAAACATGTTCAAGAATTTTAAAAAAATATATTTATTGATTTTTTATAGAGAGGAAGGGAGAGGGATAGAGAGTCAGAAACATCGATGAGAGAGAAACATCGATCAGTTGCCTCCTGCACAACCTCCACTGGGGATATGCCCGCAACCAAGGTACATGCCCTTGACCGGAATCAAACCTGGGACCCTTCAGTCCGCAGGCTGACGCTCTATTTACTGAGCCAAACCGGTCAGGGCTGTTCAAGAATTTTTGTAAAGTGTTGCTTATAATAGGAAGAAAATGGAAATAATTTAAATGTTTATTGGTGGGAGAATGGATCAATTAGCTGTGGTATATTCTTAAATTGGAATACTATAGAACAGTCAAATGAAGTAAATGTACATATATCAACATGGATTATTTTTTTAATTATGTTGAATTTTAAAAAGTAGTTACAAAAGGATATATATAGTTTGATACCACTTATGTTTTAACAACTCAAAACCATAATGTTGGTTGCATTAGTTTTTTTACCAAGATTATTTTTGTTATTTAAGACTATCCTGTTTAATTATAAAAGAAACCCACAGAAGCATGGGCCTTTGTTCTCTGACATCTTGTGTGGAGGGGGCTAAAGATATGCCAGAAGAGTTGGTCAACAGAAATGGTTAATGTGACCAATGTGAACCACACATGAACTTCTTTACATCCATGCCCATCTTGGTAACTTCTACTCATTTAGAACAACTTTTAAAATACGTAACCTATGGCGAAACTTCAGCGTCAGGGATATTAATATTCAAAATGACAGATTGCATATATTTTCAGTTAAAGAATAGACTGAATTTAAATAACAATCACATTAAGTTCTTATGACATTCAGTTACATCTGTTGATATTTTCTACTTAAATATTTCACTATGTTTTGTTAAACATTGATTAGGAGTGAAATAAGTTAAAATGGATGTTCATCTTTTTTTCTGTTAACTTTCTTATCCATTCATAAGTTTGGGATAAATTTATTGCATTTGAGTTTAACCTTTAGTTTTTGCTTAATATTTAATAGTACTCTCACAGAAAATACGTTCTAATCAGCCTCCTGCATTGCTTTTATTGTCTTCCCAGTTGTCTGATGATGGTCGCTATGTCTTGTTATCAATAAGGGAGGGGTGTGACCCTGTGAACCGGCTCTGGTACTGTGACCTGCACA